AAGAAACCGTCCAGATGACCTGACTGAACATTGTCGGATTGTTCATTTTGTTTTCATTTTGTCGTTTTTCTCGCCACCAACTCACACCACCTCACTATTTTTAACCATTTACCCTGAGAAAAAAGAAGGGCTAGGTCAATTTCAATGAGGCTTTAAGAGAACCGAACCTTTGTGAGAGCCTTGAGAGCGCAGAAAGGATGTCACACAATACCGTCTTGAAGGATTCTGACACAAAAGGGGGCGACGGCTGCAAATAAAACACTCAAACCAACTTTGGTGGGAGGTTGTGCCCTGAGAGAGAGGATTAGGTTTCTGGGGAATGGCTCTAAAATTGAGTTTTTGAAGGCTTTGTCTTGTTGTGATTGCAGAATCGAGAGTAGAGCAAAGCCAACCTTGACCAAAGCATTCCCTGCCATTTATATTACAAAGCCAAGTCATGGACTTTTCAAGTATTTACATCCTCTTAAGTTAAAAATGTAATCTGCAGATTTTCTAATATTGCCTACTTAGCAAATGAGCTATTAAACAGAGGAACAATGGGATGTTCTGGAGTCTAAAGAACAGCTGAACGCAGCAAAACCACCCAATGAAGAGCCAACAATACTTGACATCCAAAGCAAAATTTATCAGCTTCCATCTTTGCATGAAAACTTTGGTATCAGCTCTTGAATATCAGTCAGGAATAAATCAAAACCATATTTTAATCAGTAACTGTCCAGCATTAATCTAGTACCCAATCACCAGGCAGTGTAGAGGCGTACAGCAGTAAGCCCTGGTATGCTTTCCTCACATGGTCTACTCTGCGCTCACTCAAGCAGATAAGCATGTGTGGTCATGGCTCCTAAAATACATTCCCAAGAAAAAAAGGGGGCCAGTGGCAGTCTGATTTATGATGTAAATGTTTAGCAGAACAACGACTTCCCTACTGCGTCTTTTAATGGTTTAACAAGCGTCAGACTTCCAAGAAAAAATGTGTGCTTCTAGGTTTTTACCATGTATTCCTAATGAGATTTTAAAAAACTATTTTATCAGTCAAAGAGAACTGAAGCGTGTGGATAAAAGTAAACTTTGATCCGTGTTGACTTTGTGGATTCAATGTCTCTGATTTGTTATATTCATACAGTTAATCACAACCCAAACTATTCATCTGGGTCAAATACACATTCATGCCAAACATCTGTCATATAGAAGGCAACTGATGACCGTGGAGGTCATTTCCAGATTGAAGATAGGATTTGTCATGGGCGGGGGGGTCAAAGGTCAAGAAAACAGGGAGCAGCTTGCCTGCTCACACTGCCCTGTCTGAGACTTATCTAGCAAAGTTCAAGCTGAAGGCAGTTTTCAAAGTGCTCACGAGACAGGAAGTACTTAGAGTGGCACATAAAGGTTGAGGCACCCTGGTTCATAATATCTTTGGGGGGATTTCTAAAACGTGTTGGCAACAGTTTTATAGATTTCAAACAGCTTTCCATGTTAGAAGAAAGTGCTTTTTATTGTCATCATCGTATGTGCACATACAACGACAAAATGTGTGCTCTGCATTTAACCCATCCCACGTGAGATCCATCCAAGTGGATAAGCTACTTCAGTGCCAGCGAGCAGTTCGGGAATAAATGAAACATAATGGAGGTTTTGGCATTTCAAGGTTGACCTTTTTACAGTTACCGGTAATAATGTGTGTAATCAAAGTCAATGTTTTGTGGAGCATGGTGGTCAGATAGGGTCACGTCTACTCCCAGTTCTTTAACATCTAGCTACGTCATTCTAACTCCTTGCAACATTCCATGTGGAGGATATTTTCTTCTCACAACGTAAAATACCAACCAAACTCATTGACAAATATATTTGTATACAAAAGTCAATAAAAACAGGTGCAAAGGACAAAAACATTAAAGTTAAATGCCGAACTTGAATACCAGAAATAGCTATGAATCTATTTCACCACGTGATGCCCAATTTTACACATGCACATTAGTAACTAAAAGGTCAACAACAAAAACGCAAAGCACACCCTGGGCACTAAGTATTGTCAATGGAGTCCCAGGATGAACTTTGTCTTGTCTAGATATGTAAAATAAAAAATACTGACATTTTGCTAACTAAAACTGTGGATTAGGGATGCACGATATTATCGGCATGGTATCGATATTGGACGATGTTAGCGATAAAGTTAAATATCGGACATCGGACATTCCATCGAAATAACTCACCGATATAAAAGACATTGTTTTTGTATGACAACCCAGTGACAAGGACGCCTGCAGCGCCAGCACAACGTGATGACGTCACACGTGCCTACCTGATCTGATCACGGCGGGAGAGGAAGAAGTCAAAATGTCTGCGTTGTGTACGTTTTTTAAAGTGTCGGAAACTGACAGCAGAACTGCTATTTGCAATGACTGCTCAGCGTCAGTGATGCGAGGAGGAGCGAAAATGAGATCCTACAACACTTTGAACCTAATAAACCATCTCAAGGACCACCATTCCAACCATTACAATGAACTGGTGGCCAGAAACAAAAGCAAAGAGTGGTCAACAGAAACAAAACCTCACCAGCAGTCCATTCTACATGCTTCGGACAAAGCAAGGAAATACATCCACGACCACCCAAGGACAAAAAGTATCACTCAGAAACTGATGGAGTGTATTGCTCTGGATAACCAACCATTTTCATTTTCATACACTGAGGATATCGGATTTAGAATAGTTTTGGACTACGTTGAGCCTCGCTACATCGTCCCCATCCAGAGATATTTTACCGACGTAGCCTTACCCGAGTTACAAGTCGTCATTTCCAACATCATTGAGAAGCTAATAGCCGATAGCACTTGGGTGAGTTTTACCACAGACATATGGACATCAAGTGTTAGCCCCGTTAGCATGATTAGTCTTATGGCACAATGGATAGACAAAAACGTTGAACTTAAAAAGACTGTCCTTCATGCACAGGAGTGCAGAGGATCCCACACTGCAGCTAGGGGGGGAAATATCGGTATTGGTATCGGTTATCTGCCAAATAAGTTTTAACATATTGAAATATCGGATATTGACCAAATATCCAATACCATGCATCCGTACTGTAGATAACTGAAAGTATCCAAATATTCTTGCATACTTAAAGGCATCGCGGTTTATTAATATGACCTCAAGTCTTTCTCATATTTTGCCTGGAAAACCATTCTTAACGATGGTATGTTTACTGTGACATGCAGAAAGTAAACTTATTGGAAAACACCAGCAAAGGAACCATACACATATGCATTTGAAGCACACACACCATATCAATCAAGCACAGAAGTGGAGGTCTCGTGGTCGGGCTCGTTGTGCAGACAGACAACCTGCGCAACTCAGACTTATTGAGTTGTTACTGAATATAATAAAGTATATAATAAAGGGAAAATGAAAAGATATAAAACCCGCCAACAACACTAAGGGCTCTTGATTTCAGCCATGAGCATCCATGTTTAAAATGTTTTAATGGCAAACTAACAACTGTAAACTGGTTCATTCATTCATTTGCCCAAATTATCACACCAGACCAGTCCAAGCTGGGATAGGACCGTTAACTCAGCAGAGTCATCACTACAACTCGTGGTGTGGCCTTCGTTTCTTTAACAAACTGCTAACAAAGGTTTCAATCAGATTAGTCCTGCTTTAAACTTAGCAGAACAAGCTTCACTTCAATCCGGAAACAACCTTGTCGGAACAAAATTAAAAAAACAACTTTGAACTTTTTTTCACATTTTAACATAAACACTGACTGTGCCGTTATCTGGCATATCTGCTCCGAGCGCGGCAGAGACCAGCTGAACAGCCACCTGCATTCATCTTGAAAGAAACCACAGCGTCCATTCAGACCGTCTGTCTAGCCCACATATTTCATTAAACGTGTCGTTTATCTCCAGCTTTCAACGGAATCAACAAAGCTACAAAAGAACCAGAGGCCTTAGGGCCTGGATATCAATAATGAGCACTAAAACCCTCCAGGTAGGTAAAGAAAACACTTCTATCAGCTCGGAAACACCCAACTCAAATGTGAACAACCGTGACAGCCAAACATTAGAGGATTAGTGGTCGGAGAAGTGACAGGTATGTGGCGTGTGTGGGTGAGGTCGTGTGGTATCGATCGAAGGCCGGGTGTTGTCTGGTTGCCACAACTCGAACCACGCGCTTCTGAGCGCCCTGTAATACAGTAATGCTGCTTTCCCTGCTCCCAAATAAACTGAGCATTACCACGTATTAAAGGCAGACATCCCTGAAGGCCCTGCATGTGTCCATCCTCCTGTCAGGTGGGAGGGGTGGGTCACTATATTTAGCCATGTGGGATTTTCTCTCAGCTCACTGGCTAAAAACAGAGACAGAAAAGCCCACACCCATTGTCAGACAGGGTGTCCACTGAGAGACAAAAGGTGCAGCACGTGTGCAGAAGGGCGGTTTGGTTACTTGTCCAAAACAAGTCCTTGTTTGTGCACGAGGTTCCACCTGCACATCTCAAATCTGATTTTGCAAGCCTCTGATCCCTAATCCAGAGACCGCATTCCTCTCTTTCCACACAAGGGATAATTGAGCATGAGGTACAGTTTTACGGGCTGCAGGCCAACCTTCTGCCAGCGCCACGGGTCATGATGGAGGCTCCAGCCAAACGGGCGTGAATCTGATTCCTGGCAAGAGTCCAGCTGCAGCACATGATTGCTGCTTGCTGAGGTGATGAAGCTCAAACTACAAACATAATAACATAACACCTCTGGGACCTTATGATAAAAACAACGTGGGTCAACCCATTCAAAACAAATCCAAACTCACAGGAAAGCAAAAAACACAAGCGGTGGTGACGCTTCAACACTTCACATCAGCAGGACGAGTTTGTTTCCCCAGCAGCACAAATTATTTTCCTCCTTCTTTGACAATCAGGTGCCACATTTTACTGTCACCACCAACCTGTCATTATTCACACAGCTGGTAAACATCTGGTCGTGCACAGAGCAGCGTGATTTTCTCACCTGCCCGAGGTCCAGGGTAACGTTCACCTCGTTGTAGACCAGTCCCTTGGAGAGAGGAGGACTCTGCCACCACCGCTCTGTCCCATCAATGGCACTGCTCACTGGGTGGGCTTTGTTTGGCTCCATGGAGTTGCAGTAGTCACAAAACTGACCCTAAATATAACAATGTCACATTATTGGAATATAATTCACATCAAAACTTTTGCAGCACAGAAAAAAAAAAGAAGAAATTATTGTAGAGTAGAGAATTTAATGGGCACTTTTGAGAGGATGTTGAAGGACATTTCCTTTAGATGTGGGAATCAGAGTGAGTAAAACTATTTCTGGCAGTTGGACATGCTGTGCAGAGAAAAACTGTATCCTGAGGGGCTTTATCATTTACTGTACTTCTTAAAAATAAAATGGCTTATTAATAAAAATAATACCATTTTCTGTTAACAGTAAGATGCTATATGAAACAACCAGTTCCCAACATGGGATTTTAGCTGAACTCATCAGAGTTCTTGGCTTTACGCACAGATTACGCAGAGTTTACCTGAATATTTTGAGTAGGAAGTCCAACAGTGGGTCCTCCAACAAGTTTACAGTATAAATCATATCTCGGTGCGCCAGTCTCATCCTGTCCACAGGTCGCCGTGGCTGATATCCGGGAACCCTCTGCGAGGTTGAAGTATGGTGGATTCAAGTTGAAGCCCGTTAGGTCGTTGAAAGTCTCCTGTCCCTCCGCGTCCCTGAAAAGTGTCACTCCAGAGGTGAAAAATACAGCGAGGAGATGAACTCCCGTCACCCTCCTCGCCATGTTGCCCATCAGAGATCCCAGTAGATGCTGAGAGCAACCCGCTCCTCTGGTCATCTGGAGGTGTCCATGAAAACGCGCAAAACCGAAGTGGAGCTGCCGGGTTTACGCGCGGAGCTCTGTCCAGGAATGAGGGACGAAAAGCTTCGGGTTGTTCTCCCACCGAGTTCTCAGGTGTCTGAGCTCTGAGGGAGGAGAGAGGGAGGGAGGGGGGCAAAGGTCTGCCGTCACGATTTATAATCTGCCTTTACTGCCTTACCACATCCCGTGCGCACTGCACTCCTGTTATTTGTCTTGAACTTCGAAGCTTCTCAAATGTTCCTATTTGTTAGTCTTCTGCAAATAATCTGTTAAACAAGAACTTTCAAGGTGTTGAAAAAAGATGATATGTAAAAAAAAATGGCGCCAAAATCTCTAACTTTTTACTTTTTAGCAAGTTAAGTAAAGCAAAATCAATATGTATATATAAGTAATGGTGGTATAGCTCCCTGGCAGTAAAGTATGAAAGAAGCATGTAAGAAGCTAGAACTAGCTGTATGTAGTTGCACTCAAACATATCTTGTGTTTTTAATTCATTTTTTTAATCTTAAAACGTATAAAGCTTTAAAGTGAGCTCATCGCTGACCCTTTCATGGTGATCTGGCGCCCTCTAATGGAGAGAAGTGTCATCACACCAAAGCTTTGTGGATTTTAATATTCAGGTTTGGATTTTCTAACATGTGGAAGCCCATTTAGGCCACTTTGAATTTTTTTTAAGTCTGAAAGACATCATTATGAGATATTAAGTAATCATTTGGAAATACCATTTCAGAATTATGACATACTGTCTCATAATTACGTGACACTTTCATTAAAATTATGACTCAAAATTATGTGCTTAACTTTCTAATTTGTAGGATGCTGGCTCATTAAGAGCTTAATTTTGAGAGTATCTTGATTAGAAGATGTTAAGTCGTATTTATGAATCCATATATCATATTTATGAGATGCTAAGATAAAATGTTTATATTACACATCCCATCATTAAAGCTAAAAGCTTATAAAGTCGCTTTTAAAAGCATTAACTGTGTTGGACTATAGCTAGAGCCGATTTACAAAAGTTAATGTCAAAATAACGTTGGACTTTAAACATATACTGCATTACTGACATATGTTTATTTATTTATTTTATTAATTGTTGAACTATGTATTTATTTATATATTTATATGCATGCCCTCTGGCACCAGAAAGTGCTGCAGAACCCTCCACACCCCCAGTTCCCTCAGCCTATATGGTAAATATGATTTAAGAGGATCTTTTATTTAGAGTGGCTTTTATTTAGAAAATGGCTTTCATTTCAACAGTAATTTTTAAAAAATCTTGCTTAATTATGCTTGCTTATTAATGTTAATGCTTTGACAGATGATCTAAATAAATCCAAGCACAGTAAAGAAAATTTGTATGTCATAAAATCAACATCCCATTGGACTTTACAGGATTCGCTCAGCAACCTTTGTAACTTGCAGAGCAACAATAAAAGTCGGTGACTCATTGGCAGGAGTTCGCAGCATGGTTCCCATTCTTGTGACGGGACAGGCTGGTTTCTTTAACCCGCATGTGTCACCACTGAGGGAGGGGGAAGTAAACAGGAACTGATCACACGCTGAACCAAACAGAACCTGAAGGAATCAAGAGTTCATTCTCTGTTCTTCTAGTTCCAGACTCCGCATGGAGCCAACTAATCTACAGGTAGGGTGAATAACTTTTAGTTCTTGTTTTTAGGGCCAGAAGTTTCTCTGTCAGAGTTGAGCTACATAATTCATAAACAGATGCAGTGTGACAGGTTTCATTTTGACCGATCGTTGTGATTCAGTATCAGGTTTCATGGGTCTGAGCTCAGTTCCTGTAGGAGATGAAGATGTTTAACACCAGCTCTGTCGTGTTTACCTCCTAAACTGAACAAAATGAATGAATCACATCAAGCCCACAGACTCAACACCAGTCTCAGACATAACTCCCACTCAGAAAAGTTCATGTTTTAAAAATGAAGTGACACGTTTCAGTGTCTACAGTCATGATTGAGAAAATCTCAGCATCACTCATGCTCCACTGGTGGACTGCACATATTTAAACCTCTTCTAATATTAAAGGTTTTGATAAAAGCGTAACACATTACACGTGTGTGTGTGTGATTAGTCTATATTGACACTTAATAAGTAATTGACCTCCTGAGAGTTCATATGGGGACACTGACCTCTTGCATCATGACATTTTATTCTGTTCAACTTGTTTTTATAGGAGATAATTTTATTGATAATATTGAATTTTCAGACTCATATATATGAGTGTGTGTGTGTGTGGGGGGGGGGGGGGGGTTAATTGTTAAAATAACGTTTGTTTTTATGTCGTAGACATCCTACTAATCCAAAAATTAATGGGAAGTTAACCCTCCTGCTGTCCTTGGGTTCAAAGGACCATAATGCTTAAAGCTGATGGCTCGAGAATCATTTTGACCCAAGGCCAGCAGGAGGGTTAAAATTGTACTTTAAACCAAAGCTTCTCAGGAAGTTCAAACTTCAAAAGATTTACCACTAAAGTTAGACAAAAGTAAATGAAAGTAAAGTGTTCATTTGTTGTTGGTTTTGAATAAACATTTTAAAGCATGAATACACGATGACATGAACTGCAATAACATCCATCCATTATCTTTTACCCGCTTCTTCCATTTTGGGTCACGGGGACACGGGTGCCCATGTCCAGCAATCACTGTGCGAGGGGCGGGGTACAACCTGGACATGTCTCCAGTCCATCACAGGGACACATAGAGACAAACAACCATTCACTCTCTCACTCACACCTAGAGACAATTTAGAGTTACCAATCAGCCTAACATGCATGTTTTTGGTCTGTGGGAGGAAACTGGAGTACCCAAAGAAAACCCACGCATGCACGGAGAGAACATGCAAACTCCACCCAGAAAGGCCCCTGGACTGGGATATGAACTGGCAATCTTATCGCTGAAAGGCAGCAGCTCTACCAGTTGCACCACCGTGCTTCCACTGCAAGAAGATTTTCTCCCATATTGTCCGTGTGATATTAATTATGCATGAATCTTTGTATCAGAGTATTCATGACTGATTCATTAAATTAATCAATTCATTACAAGTGTTCAGAAGAGACTAGAAATTTCAAATCTCTCTCTCTCTCTCGCTCTCTCTCTCTCTCTCT